GGCAAAGACAAGAACCAACGTAGTTGCGGCCATAAGGCCGAGAAGCCTCTGAATTTGGAAGGCAGTGACAGAAGGTTGGGTATGTACGACGGTGGCTAATGAAATGATGTCTGCCGCTCTGTCCTGAGGAAGGTAAGCCATGCATGTCTTGGAATCCAGTATAGCACCGATGTACTGTATTCTTTGGACTGGACATAATTGAGACTTTTCCCGATTGCCCTGTAGGACCAGATTTTCTAAGAGTGCCAGAGTCTCACTGATGAGGTGGAAGTACGAGTCTTGGAGGTCGAGGGTGGCCACCCAGACATGTTTCCGAAGAAGCGGCATAATCTGTTGCAGGGACACCATGCAGAAGCGGTGGTAGGTCACAAAACAGTTCAGTGCCCTTAGATCTAATATGAGTCGAACGTCTCCATCCCGCTTTGGAACTGTGAAATAGTGGGAATAGAACCCTTTCCTCTGCAAATGAGGTGGTACCGGATCGATGGCTCCCTTGTGCAGAAGGACGGAAACCTCTTCCAGGAGAGGTGGGGAAGGGTGTGTGGAGACGATGACAGGAGTAATGGGGTTCTGGTGGAATTGGATACGGTAGCCTCGGGTCAAGATGGATAGTAAAAAGGAAGTCAAAAGCCCTGTTTGGAGGTTTTTGCCTGTTTGGTGCGGGAAGAGTTTTGCCCGAATCCAAACCTTGGTTTTTGGAAGGTGGGTTTTTGGCCTCTTGAAGATGTACGTGGTCTCCATTGTCTGTTAGGAGACTGACGACTTGGGGTACGCCTTTGCCAGGGCCTCGACCAAGTGCGGGGATGGTATTGTTGTCTCGTGGAGGATGACACTCCTAGAGCCCGAGAAGCCTTTATGCTCTTATCCATATCTTGGAGTACGGAATCGGTAGTGCTATTGAAGAGACCAAGGCCATCAAATGAGAGGTCTTCGACATAAGACCTAGTATCCAGAGGGAGACTGGTATTACGAAGCCAGGAATGTCTCCTCAGAGCTATTGCAGAGGCCATCCAATACCGTCCAGGGCATGTTTTGAAGTGTTGATCTGCTGTTTTGCCAACACCATGCCTTCCTTTTGAATAACTCTAGCTGCCTGAAGTTTGTCTTCGGGAAGATTAGTTAGGATTTCGGAAAACCTTTCCCATAGAGTGTATTGATACCTTCTCATGCAGGCTAGGTAGTTAGTGGTTTTCACTCCCAACGCTCCCGTGGAGTAGAAGCGTCTGTCAAAGTCATCCAATTTTTTACTCTCTCTGTCCGAAGGTGCAGAGTGGGTTCTTTTCGATTTGGAGGAGGATGTTACAACCATTGAGTTTGGTTGAGGGTGGGAGAATAAAAATTCAGCTCCGATTTCCTGGACTCTGTACATGTGATCCAGGCGTCTTGTTGACACTGGGGCTGATGAAGGCTTTTCCCATGGTGCCTTTGCGGCTTGTAAAAGGACTGTTGACATTGGTAATGCCAAAGTAGTGGAGGTATCCAACTGCACAATATCGAAAACTGCATCTGTTACCTAAGGGTGTTGTTCGACGACAGAGAGGCCTAGAGAATGGGCCATTCTTTTGATGAGGTCTGTGTATGACGTGAGATTGTCAAGTGGGGATATGGGGAGATCCTCAGTGACAGCCTGGTTAGGAGACTTATGGTCAAGAGAGGTGTGAGCCTCAGAGGCCTCCGTATCCTCTTCCTCTTCCGCAGAGTCAGAGGAATCCTGGTGTGGTATTTGGACCGGAGTGTCCTGAGTTTGACTGGTTAAGGGTTTCAGTGGTACAACTTGGGGATTGGGAGGACGACTTAGTTCCAGATCATGGCGGGTAGGGTCGTCTGCAGGAGGACGAGACACAGATGCCGAGGGTCTCGACTTGTAGGGCGACCTCGATCTATGGGCAGAGTGGGACGAATAACGATCCCAGTCCGAATATCCCGCCGGAGTCAACCATGGCATAGATGGTGGATAAGCCCCATAAAGATACCTCATTTGGCGTTGATCCCAAGACAGAGGTGGTGGTGGGGAAGAAAGACTCGGGGGGGTCGACTTCTGGACCTTGGACGTCTCGGAGACAAAGCGGTAGCCTGTCTTTGAGAGCAGTCCCTGTAATCTCGGTCGTCGATATAGACAGATTGAATATGCAGATGTGGAGGGCGACGCTGCGTGTTGTTAGAAGCATGTACATTCCGACGTGAATCAATGTCAGGAGCCTCCAATACCGTCGATGTCGACGACGGGGATGGAGAGGGAGAAGGCTCTGCATCCATCTGATGACTTAGGAGCTCTACCGTCTTGATATCGGAGTAAGGATGGTCCAGTTGGTGTCCAAGAGGGGAGTCCAAGAGTTGAATGGTCGGAATCAGTCGAGGGGCTTGGGCCTCCAGTATCGATACTGCCATTGGAGCGGGAGGCACCATAGGGGCATCACCCAGTGCAGACACCGCTACCTTCCCCTTCTTTGCTGCCTTAAGGGATTTAGAGGAGCCCTTCTTTGCGAACTTGTGCTCCTTACTTGGTTTGACCTTCTTCACCAGCGTGGAAGCTTCGATGTCGGTGGTTTCAACGTCGATTGACCAATATCGGAAGAGGGCCTCGATGTCGGAGCCGTCAATGTTGAAGGCCTCTCGGACTCCATCATTGTGGGAGGATGTAAAGCCGACTCAAGGAGCGCCACTTTAAGGCGCACAGCTCGATTTTTTCTTGTCTGGTTCGAACAGCGAGCACAGTGGAGACAGGACTCAGGTCGATGAGACTCTCCCAGAAAAAAAATATAGAGGGTATGACAGTCAGGTGGAGCAAGTTTACTGCCACAATCCTTGCACCGGTTAAAAAAGCCCCACTTCTTCTCCATAAAAATAAACAGTGAAGAAGAAAGGGGGGGGAGCCCGAAGGCCACACTGTGGTAAACCGGCAACTTTCCCCTCAGCTGAAAATAAAGTTGTTTTTTTTTTGAGTTTTTTAAAGAACAAACGAAGAAGTACTAAAGAAAAGAGAATAAAGTGAGGAAAAATCTGAAGAGCCGTGAGGCAAATAGCCAAAAAAATGAACCGATCAGACCGAGGAGAAAGAGGTGTTTCCAACGCAGTGGTAAGAAAGGAACTAGTGGAATGTTCCCTCTGGGCATGCGCGGTGGGGTTTCTGCGCATGCCCGAGGTCTGGGCACGAAAATCCATTAAAGAGCTTGCTACAATGCCAATCAATCCAGCTCGTGCGCACTAGATCCCATGGGTGTGAATCACAGAGACCACATCGAAGATCCTCAAGTTTCTATGACAGCTACCCAATCTTTATGGAGCTGCCAAAACCTACACACATCTCTCCCTTTCTTCAAATCTCTTCTCAAAATTCACTCTTTCTGGTCGTTGTTTTATCCATATAATCCTCATTCCCAGCTGTAATCAATCCCAATAACACACATAACTGCATTTGCCCACATTCACTCCATGGGAGCAGAGGTCTGCCTTTTTTTCTGCTTTCGTAATTGTTGAGTGCCATGTATACATGGAGCTGCAGCTACACACACCTGCCTCACTACCAAAGGCAGGGACATCAGACTGTGTTCTTACCTGATGGGCAGGTAGAGTACACTGAATCCTGCTGTCAGATATCTCTCCCACATCACAAGAGTATACTATAAAGACTATCGGTAACAGCCCCAATGGAACTCTCAATTTAGACCCTGGAATCTTGGCTAGTGATCAGTGTTCCCTCTAAGCTGAGTTAGAGTGAGCCAGCTCACAGATTTTTAGCCTCCAGCTCACACATTTTTGTCTTAGCTCAGGAAGGATGGCTTCAGAGCAAACTGATTTATACAGTAGCCAAATCGCTCACTCACAACTTTAATGCCAGTAGCTGACAAAGTAGAATTTCTACTCACAGGACTACTCATAGCTTAGAGGGACTATTGCTAGTGATCCTCAGCTCTCCTAAAACATATTCTTCTATTCTAAGTATCCTGTAGGTATGTCAATTTGTTAAAATATATTTAAGCATCATTATCTAAACACAGACCTGTGTAATCTACAGCTTTAACACAATACACACACATTTAACAAATGGTGATCTTTGAGAAGCGCAAAAAGGCAAGCGTATCTGTCATTTAACTCTATATCCTTTCTTAGCACCCATGCAAGTAGCTTGGCATTGTCCAGAGGCAATGGCCAAAGCTAGCTAACACTTAAATATAGTTATATGTGGGACAAGTACAGTCTTCAAAGAATCACCGACAGCCAGACAGCCAGACCTCCTATTGATCTGTGCACTCAAATTTCACACAATAAATTCTGGAGGCACAGCTGATAACTATACCCAAAGAGGCTGACCTAGATTCAGAACTGATCATAATTCAATATTTAAAAGGTTCAGAGCCTGTTACGTGGCACAAAGAGAGATTAAAAACTCTTCCAAGTTACATCTGATCAAATTTTCAAGTCACAGACTCATAATACACCAGTCAAGGTTATTCTCAGTATAGGATTAAAAAACACCCTATTAGATACGTGCACAGGGAAGAATCCCTGAAAAGTCTTTATTTCTGAACCTCCAAAATCTTTCCTCCAGAGGAGTGAAAACCCCAGAAAATAACAAACTTTTTTTATTTACAATCAACCACCTTCATTTTCAGTAATAACACAATTGCCACAGGAGGTAGGATAGCAAAATAAAGCAGCAAATTTATTTTCTTTATCAACATCAATGGAAAGTTAACTAGAAAAGGTTATCCTGAATAAACTCCGTTGACTTTGCTATAAATGGGAGGAAACAAAATCAATAAAACGTGTTCACTAGGAGGAGAACCCACCTTTGCAGTATATATAACCTTTTTGTGATAAATGTATTGAGCTCATAAAATCTATTATGTACAAACTTGGGCACAAGAAAAGCAAAGCAAACAAACAAAAAAGACAGCTTCAGCTCCTTTCCAGAAGCCCACAAAAGTTATGGTAATTGTCAAAGCAATTAATGGGGAAAATACACAGAGGAGGAGGAGAGACCAGAGTCTGTGACCTACCTTGCAGAAGGGAGCCATTTCTCTTGAAGAAGGTGCTTCCAGGCCAAATGGGAGGACCTGATGTGCTAAAGGTAACAAAACAAAACAAAAGTGTAAAGAAAATCTCATTCACATTTAGTGTTTTACTGGTCACCATATTATAAATCTTTCTTTTCAAAAAGTGTCATCAATTTGGCATTTTATTTATTTAACTAAGTATTTCTGGGCTGCCTTTTAATAGATACTGGGGACCACCAAAAAGTGGGTTCTAGATCAAATCAAGCCTGAACTCTCCCTAGGAGCTAAAATGAACAAAACGAGCATGTTGTACTTTGGTCACATTGTGAGAAGGCAAGACTCACTGGAAAAGACAACAATGCTAGGAAAGGTTGAAGGCAGCAGGAAAAGAGGAGGACCCAACATGAGATGGATTGACTCAATCGAGGAAGCCACGGCCCTCATTCTGAAAGACCTGAGCAAAGCTGTTAATGATAGGACGTTTTGGAGGTCATTAATTCATAGGGTCGTCATAGGTCGGAAGCAAACTGACAACACTTAATGTGCACAGAGGCTGCTTTTCTTCGCCAAGAATATTGAATATAACTGTTACACGTTACAGGAGTAAGACCTTCTAATTCATTAAACAGAAGTATTTAACAGTTACATTCTATTCATGAGGAAATACAGTCTGATATTTGCCCACACATAATTAAGGGAGGGAAATTAGAAGCAAAAATATGTGTCCCCCACTTACACACAAAAATGTATACTTTGCTATGACTATAATATGTTAGGCTTGCAAAAAAAATTCTGAAAATCAGTATCTCTAACAAAATCTCCCCGTTCTAAAAAAAACAGCCAAGGGAAATACCAGCTGCCCCTATAAACTGGCTCTGAATCAAATGCCATTTTACTACACTATTACTGTAAGCCGAGGGTTCTTCAACTGTAAGGCAGGCTTTTCTAGGAATAATATTCTAGAAGTTAGCCTCTACAGGTGATTAAGGAAATAATTCACTTGCCCCTTGCTGCACGTAGATCGGACCATCAGCACCCGCATTGTGAAGGCGAGTATAGGCAGGAGGAACCAATTGACACAAAGATAGTAAAACTAAGGAAAGCTCTTTCCTGACCATCTGTATGAACTGGGTCCAGGCCTCCCCACCAGCCTATACACCACCCTTGTCCTTGTTATGCATTACATTCAGAGCTAAACATCACATTCTATATATCCATTTTTGCCTGTATGGAATGCATTCATGCAATGCACACTGGGTTAATTTAAAATAACTGCATGCCGTTTTCAAAGCAGTGAGGATGGCATCAAGCTTTTGACTGAGGAGGACAATGACAGTGTATGACATGGACCAGTGGCCGAGAGCACAACTTCCATGCCCCATCAGGCTCCCCAGGCCTGCTGCACATCCACGTAATCCCCATCCCATCCACTACAAGCAAAGCTTACTTTCCCAAGTGCTAACTGTTTACATTTAGCTCCATCTGACATGGCTGAAGGGTTAAGTTATGCCAGCTGAAGGTGTTTGCTGAAATCTACCTGCAGCTTCCACCACGCTCTGCATTACTTTACAAAACAACAACCAAACAAAACACTGGCTGGATCTTGAGTCCCACACTAGAACCAAGGTGGCTTATCCTTCACGTTTGTCATGCTAAACTTGGCCAAAAGTGTGCAGAAGTGACCACTGTGGTATGATGCCGGTAAGATGCTGTCTGGCTCAAGGAATCAGAAGCAACCTGCCCCACTTCCTATGCCTTGGGTCTCTGTTTGCCCCAATTCCACACTCATCTGCCGTTACACAGGACCATTAATGCCGGGTTAAAAAGGAGCCTAGGGACACTCTTAAGAACTGAGTGGATTCTGAACATTCCAGGTCAGCTACATCCACATAAAATGGGGCTGAGATGGTCAGGAGAAAAGGAATCAGGGGACTGAAGTGCTACTGCCCTGCTAAACAGAGCTGATCACTGGAGCCATCAGCTTCTGTTCAAAGGTGAGGGTGGAGGAACCTAAACTGCACCATCACCCTTTCCAAATAATGATCAGCTCCCTTGTGGTATAGGATGTCCTTGGGTGCAGCAATGTGTGCATTACTCAATTCCATCCCCAGACCTATGGAACATGGGCAACCGCACCAGAAAAAGACAAGCATTTGTAACAAGCAAGAGAGGTTTCAAACCCAGAAGCTTTCTAAAGCTGTACTAGATGCCCCAACAGCAGGAAGACATTGCATCACAAATTGCGGTCAGAGAAAGTGCCAGATCAGGAAATTCTACATCCAATATCAATACTACTGTTGCTAGGATACAAGATTTGACATTCAAAAACTTTCAGCTTCATTTCAGGCTTGATAAACACAACCAGTATTAAATCAGGTAACTGAAAGACATTTGATCCAATAGATAAACAGCCTTGACCAGTTATTTTCTTGCCTTCACTGCCATGAGGAGGTCTGAAAGTTTAATCAGGCAAGGTTTATGATCTGCCACATTCCTGCTCTGCTCTGTATTACTAGATAAAATAAATTGCAGCTGAGAAAACAGAAGGAAGCACAAATAATCATCAGAAAGATCATCCGATTACCTCCAATTTGAACACAGATTGATGATTTAGTCCTGCCTATACATCCTCCACTCTACCGGCCATAAATATAGTTAGTTATTGCAGGTACATTAATCTAGCAGCAGCTTTTGCAAGTTACAGCTAAGAGTCCCAAATGCAACTGCACTAACACAATGTCTTTGTACAGGAGTGTGGGTATGTCAGAAATGGTCTTTCAGGCTTCCATTCTCATGCCAAATCTTTAGTCTGTTTTTTTTTTTGGGGGGGGGATACAAATGACTTTACGGTTTTATCCATTTGCTTCACTTATACCCCCTCACCTTTCTCTCCAATGGTGACCCAAAGTGGCTTACATTGTTGTCTTCCCCATTTTATCCTCACAACAACCCTGGCAAAATAGGTTTAAGCAGAGAGTATGTGACTGGCCCAAGGTCACCCAGCAAGCTACCATGGCCAAGTGGGGATTCAAATGTGGGCCTCCCAGATCCCCATCTGACACTCTAACCGCTACACCACACAGGGTCTCTGTGCTCTATGTAAATAGAACACACACTCCTTCATATACATACATGCAAACAAAATGAAGTGAAGAAATTAAGACATCATGAATTTAGTGAATTCTGCAAACAGAGCTCCTAGCGATTCCTGTGAATCTGAACTGCATCCAATGCTTGCAGTTATTATGCCAACATGCTAATTTTTATTCTCAAAAGTGCAAAGCAAACATGACGGCAAGCATGAAAATCCTGAGCAGATTTTGGCAGCTGCGGACATTAAAAGGGTGTGCAAGTTAATTTCTTTGTACGACAAGTACACATTTGTACGACAAGTATTATGACCCTTTCATTCAGGTAGTATGCATCTATTGCTGTGAATCTAGGCAGCTGCAGACATTTTACTCTTGTCTGCCTTCCCTAATCTCGTGCATGTCATACTCCCCCTTCAGTGAATCTGCAGGTGAGGCCAGCTTTTTAAAAATCTACATTAAAAAGGTTTAGGGTTTTTTAAACTATATACAGGTTATATCTTTCAGTGCGTGGCGGCAAAAAAAAGATTAAAAGGTTGCTGTGTAATACATATTTTTTTCTCATACAACTGTAACCCTCAAAACGCCTCGGCCCACATCTTGGGCAGGGGTTTTCCTGCTGGCCTCATTCTCATAGCATAGCTCTGGTTACGCTGTAGTAAGGAGGGAAACATGTTTTGCATTCATGTTCAGAAGCAATTTTCTGCCAGAAAATTTCCAGAAAGTGTAAGTGCAGAGTTCAAAGACAGGGGAATGGGTATGATTATTCAGTGGGAGGAGGGAGCTGGATCAGATGCCATGGTCCATCAAGTCCAGCATCACGTTCCACACAGTGGCCAACCAGCTGCCCTGGAGGCCAAACGGTGCATAGAGGCTGCGGCCCTCCTCTGCTGCTGCCTCCCAGCAGTGGTGTTCAGAGGTCTTCTGCCTCAGTCATTATGGCTAGTATGTGGACCCCTCCTCTGCAAATCTAACATTCCTTTACAGATACCTATGCTTGGGGCTGTCATTAGAGAACAGAATTCCTCTGTAAAAAAGAAACCTCCACTTACCCAGATCATCATGCTTTTATACACACTGGGATTTCATTTTAGTTATTCTGTTCAGACAAGTGTGCATTTAACTCAAGGAGAGAATAAAGAGGCTCAGCACAGGCTTAGTCTTCTTGGTTTATGAAAAGGGCTGCTTGATATTGTAATATTAATACTTACTCCATGAATGATGCCCTGACCTGGAGAGCCCAGGCTAGCCCAGTCTTGACAGAACTTGGAAGCTAAGCAGGTCGGCCTTGGCTAGTACTTGGATGGGTGACCTCCACGGAATACCAGGCAATGGCAAACCACCTCTGAACCGTCTCTTGCCTCGAAAACAAGTCTTGCTCATCACCTAGTGGTGCATGACACTAAAGAGCTAGAACAACTGGCTGCCAGACAATCTTAGGATCTCCTGGCTATATTACACACGATGCCATACGATAATAATAATAATTATTATTAGTCCATGAATACTTATTGTTATCACTCCATCATTACTTATTATTGCTCCATTATTACTTATTATCACTCCATTATTACTTATTATCACTCCATGAATAATTATTATTACTCCACGAATACTCCATGTATTACTCCATGTATACAGCTGCTAACAATCATACAAGATACGGTGCGGGGGATTACAACCAAAGTTAACACAAGCAGCACTGAGGAAGGGTTAAATTTGGTATCACTATATATTAAGGAGCACAAATATTGCTCTACTTACCATCACTGCTGTTTTCGACCTTTACATCCTAGAGAGATTTGTCATTACTACATTATACAAACCTGAATAGCTTTTGAGAGTTAAAGGGGTGGAATACCAGACCAGGACAGCCAGGGAAAAACAAATACTTTATTGGCAGCAGACATGCGAAACAGGTCTTTATCTAACATAGGGGGAAAAGCCTACACTACCAAGAATAGCCAATCCCTTTCCAA